CTTAAAGAATAAGGCATTTCGTAAATAATGGCTTCAAATAAACATTCTTCACAACGGTTGTCTCCATTTAATAAACCATGTAGAAGTGCAACTTCTTGAAATGTACGACATTTATCCCATTGAAAGTTCTTATATAGTCAAATGATGTTGAACCTCTAATATGATTAAGAAGAAGACAAAGAAAATATCGTTCTCCTTCAGATGAATTTACTGAGACAATTCGTCCTATAACAATCTATTTCTTTCTGGGAGTCCAAATTTTGTTATTTGCATTCCAAACAAAATGTGTAAAAAAATCTCGATGCAAAAGCATTCGAGCAAATTCGTTTACTTTGTTCACTCGAAAAAATTCGGTTAACATTGTTCTTCTGGTATTTTCATTTTCAATAACATCAGATAAATCGTCCGTATTTTTGTAAGTTACACATTGACGATCTTCAATATAAAGTTGTAGAGCACAAACAATTGGATAGATTTCTAACAAATTGAAAGAAAAAATCCTCCATATAACTTCAGGTGGAGATATCCATCTAGCAAATCGGTAAGTAGAGATTTCATCGACGTCTTTGTTTGTCTCATTTTTTCCAACGAAAAAATTAATATGATCATGTTCTTTGTATACACATCTGTACAAATATTTTACAACTTTAATAGAATAACATACTTCAACATTGATATGACAGTCAAACTTTACACTTAAATAAGGATTGTATGGTACAACCCATTGATTGTCTGACACAAATATCATTATTACGCCTCCTATACAACGAGTATGAATTATCAACAAATATAGTATTATTACAATAATCTTTAGGATATTTATTTTTACAATCGTTATTTGTCATCATACATACACTTTTAGGATTTAGATTTTCTCAAGAACCATGCAAATTGTGTTTTACAATAATAGAATGAAGATGAGGGTGTAAATTTTTATCAGGAATTTCACAAGAGACTATCCTATCAACTTGTTTAGTGGAAGAAATTTTATGACCACAGTTAAAAATCAGCAATAGATGTACATGAGGGAGACTTTTTTTTTTTTTTTAAATTCAATCATATATATATATGAGCAATAACAAGACCAAAAATATTGTTTTTATATAAATCATTTTTATATTCTTCTAATTTTGCTATAAATACACGTATAATCAGATTTGATTGATTTTGAACCTCATCATTGTGTTTTAATTCTTACTTGATTTCTGGTCAATTTAAATTACATGTTATAGTTAAGAATAAATCTGGTTTTCCATAACGTTAGACTAGAGACATAGCATCTAAGTACCTCATTATCATATCTCTAGGTCCACATGTAAAGGATAGTGGTAAAACAACTTTCTTTCCGATTTTTTACCATCTAGTTTCTCCTTTATATACACTATTTACAATACTTTGATATAGTTTAGCACGAATTTGTTTCTGATTATTACGAAAATAATCTAACATGGATGTCTAAATCTTAACGTACATATCTACAATATATTGTTGGAAAAGTCTGCTAGTATGAAGCTACACAGACTTACCAGAAGGTCTAATATATAACTTGTACGAATAGTAAATGAAGCAAATTGTATATTTACTTCAAATATCACATCTATGGAGATAAAACAGAGACATGATAAAGTATATAAACAAACATTCGACCTCTTTTTCAATAATTTGAACTGCAAAATTTATTATATTAGGATTAGCAACATGGTCGACCAACTGTGCAAGCTGAGAAGATGTGTTTTCGTATCTTTGAATACTTTCATGCCAACCATATTCACCAAACACGAAAAGCAAAGGATATTGCAAATGATTATAACAACCATAATAATAATGAACCATATGCGAGTCACCAGAATGTTCTTATATAGTAATATCACGAACATGAATATTTACGTTTTCATCATCCTCAACCCATTCAGCAACTACTTGAGACGCCGACGAAGTATTAAAGACTCTCTGATCGAGTCCTGGGTGACATCTTATTTGTATTTTATGCTCATAAAAATTGTTTATATTATTTAGAGACCTAAATAATTTACTATATGGATTTACCTTCAAGATTTCAATTAGAATAAGCAAAGTGGATTCTACCAGATTTTTCTGAAGTTTTTATATGATTTTGAAGTCATTATCTATATCATAGAAATATAATTACATATAAGAAGGCGTATTATTATTCGGCATAAGTTGATTTACATAATGATATATTTGTCCCTAAACTCTAAATGTATAAATACATTTGTATGCTTTAAAAAGTTCCTTATCGTACTTTGCACCAAATGAAGTGAAAGCAAAGTGGTTGTTATATTCACGTGCAAATTTTTTAAATTCCATACATGCATGTTCTTTAGACGTAAATAAAGCATACAATTCATCCGGTGAATCAGACATAAAAAGTTTAACTTCTCCATCAGAGGAACAAAAACTCTTGGTTTCTCTATACAATTTGCGTACGCCACAATGCGTACAATAAGTGCATGTCGGTAATACATATGCAGTAGTTGGTATATTAAACAAATTAGAACTTTCATGTAATTCAGAATAAACAACATTAATCATCTTTTCATTCGAAGTAGAAGCCTCAGAATGAGAATGTATTAAATATTCATGCCCATAATCAACGCCAGAACTATTATTTTTAGATAACATTGGATCATTTATCCTCTTACGACGATCAATACTTACAGTTTGAATTCGATACCTCCTATCTGCCTGCCTTCAATTTTGTTGTTGGCAAATGAAAGCATTATATGATTTATTTGTGCTTTGGGATAAAGTTTCAAGATCAAAACAACCAAGCTCGTCCTTTGTCAATTTTTTCAGAGAATCCATCATAACAATGAATTTATCACTAATTTGAATAATACGAAAAATTATTAATTCAGTTAAAAACTAACAAATAATAATAATACTACATTCAACACAATGTAAAATTTACTGAACTCAAATAAAAGAAACAATAATCGAAAAATTTTCAGTGACTCAAGTAAATAAGTGTAAACAAAGAAACGGGCAACTAAGTTTTACACACACAACAAAAAAAGACAGAAAGAAAAACATATATTACATTAAATAAAGGCGAAGAAAATAAGAAACAAATCTACGAGAAAATAAACATCCAACAAAAATATAAATTTCATAGCCATATCCAAAGAAAAAAAAAGAAAACTTCAGTTAGATTTTCACATATATATAGAGATAAGAATATACCTCACATCTAAGTAGAGGAGGATGAGTCAAGCTACATTTTCATCTATACACAAAAATAAAAACTACATACCTTAAATAATCCAAAAAAAAAACCAAAAAACAGAAACACAAACAAAAAAAAAATAAAAAAATTTGCAAGCACATACCCAAAGTTAATCGTCGCAATTTCTTCCCTACGATTAAGATAAGAACTGCAAGACTTTTTTTCCCACAGAAAGAAACAAAAATTTAGAGAGTTTTTTTTTCACAGATGAAAACTGGAATTTTGGAATTGAAGTAGAGAGAATGAGCGACTTCAAAGAGTGATAGATAGTACATTATTTATTTTCTTTATAATATAATATAATATAATAAAAAAATACCAAATCACTTTGACCAAACCCATTTTAAACCAATTGAATGTGAAAACACATGTAACAAAAATGAACAATCTAGCTCTGCACAAAAATAGCACTTCAAGTTACTTTTAAAATTTAAAAAGTAATAATTCTCTTATAATTGTAAAAAGCTACTTTATATAAGTAAAAATAAAAAAGATATTAACTTAATTTTTTTTAAGTATAAATATTTACATATATTTAGTTTTTAAAATTTTAAATATTAATAAAAAGAATACACCATCTAGGATGTAAAAAGTTACTGATAAATAAAAAAATCACTTCAAGTTATTTAAAAATAATAAATAATTATAAAAGGTAATTATAGATAAAAAAATATTAACTTCAACATTTTAAAGTAAATATTTATAAAAAATTAAATATTAATAAAAAATTACATTAAATAATTTTATTTTATTTAAAAAAAAGGCTTTCTGCTGGAGATTGTTTTTTTAATTTTATTCATAATAATTTTTATTAATATTTAAATTTAAAAATATTAAATATATATCTAAATTTACTTAAAAATGTTAAAGTTAGTATTTTTTTATCTATAAGTAGCTTTTACAATTATAGATTTTTTTATTAATTTTAAATAATTCGAAGTGATTTTTTTACTTATAAGTAACTTTTTACATTCTAGATAGTGTAATTTTTTTATTAATATTTAATATAAAAAACTAAATACATCTAAAGGGGAAAAAAATTTTAACCACTCCGTGGAATCACTTTACGCACGGAGTGGTTTCATTCCATGCATATAACACTTCGTGCAAAAGGAGAGTTCTCTCATTTTGATGAAAAGTCGACTTCTTTTACTCTCCTTTTTAAAGAAGAGATTCTCTCCGTCCACGGAGAATTTTTATTTTATTTTATTTTTTATTTTTATGGAGGGATAATTTTATTGGTATATGTTTCAATATAAAATTCTTTTTAATTCTTTTATGGTAAAAAATTTAATTTTTTCAATTTTAACTAATAAAAATAATATATTTAATTTTTGTAACTTTCCTTTATTTTATTTGTTAATAATTATTTATATATTATTTATTTAATTTTTGTAACTTTCCTTTATTTTATTTGTTTCATTGAATTTAATAAAATAATATTTATACATTCTTTAAGATAGAACGACATTCGTTAAATTTGAATTAAATATGTTTAAATCATTTATAATTTAATAACTTTATAATAAATTATTTCTATTTTTGTCTGTAATTTCTTTTATTATATAAAATATATAGTATTGTCTTTAATCAAAGTAGTGTGTAAAAATGAAGAAATCGTTGAAACGACGTGTGAAAATAATGCTATAGTTCAAACCAAGTTCATGTGAAAATTTATGTGATAAAAATGAACAGTAATTTCACATTCTCTGCTCTAAGATAAGGTGGGATAAATGGGGTCAAACTAGGGCTAAACCAAACTTTTTAAGGCCCACGAATAAAAGAAAGACTAAAGCTTGTTCGCTAGAACTCAGGGGAAGAGAAGAGTAGAAGGGGGAATTGGGAAAGATGCCGTTAATGGAGAAGCTGAAAATGTTCGTGGTTCAAGAGCCCATCGTCGCTGCTTCCTGCCTTATCGCTGGCGTGGGTTAGTATTGACTAGTGTAGTCGTGTGTTGTATTTTGATCAAGTAGATATGAAGAATTCATTCCGTTCATTTGATTTCATACGATTTTCTGTCTTATATGGCCTACGTTTGTTGGATTGATTCAAATGTTAAATGTTTACGCCTATGATTGTGATTTTTTTAATTTGTTAATGCTTCTCATATTAGATTTCGGCGAATTGAATTTGGATCGCTGAATCATGAATTACGATGAACTAAGTCAATATTGAATTGAGATTTTTCGATCTTCTGTTCTGTAACCCCACATCTACTTTGTCCGATTTGTTCAGAAAAATCCTACATATGTTGGTTTATTCCGTCATTGCTCCATCTACTGAACACGAAATTTGAATAGATAAACGTGTCCCATCTTTAAAGTCTAAGCTTTGGGACTGCATAGTTCAATGATATAGTAGATGAGACAATGTCCTAGTTTCGAGTATCACTGTCATTACAAAATTTGTGCATCTGTCATGGAGGTCTTCAATGAAAATATGTATTTGGGCTGCACGTGAAAACATTTTAATGACTATTTAAATAAATAAATTTGTCCCCTCTTTAAGTTCTTAAACACTTACCTCTTAATCTTGTAATTTGTATGATTGCTTATTTGTTCTGGTCTTTAATCTTCTAAATGGAAATGCACAATTTAAATACACGGAGAATGTTGTCCTTATATTTGTAGTGTGTAGAGATTTCTTGAGTAGATGATGTCTTGCTCGCTTGTCTGGAAACAGAATGTACTTAATCGTAGGTTTCTATATGTGGAAATTAAAGGTATGTCCCATCTTACTAGATTTGGATTGCAAAAATTTCAGGACTCTTTCTTCCAGCAGTTGTGAGGCCCATGCTAGATTCTTTTGAAACAAGCAAGAAAGTTCCACAGCCTGCTTTGAGTGATGTAAGTGATTTACTGGATTATGAATAATTATGCAAAACCTCTTCTCCATCTCCTTGCTACACCCTGGTTGGATATAATGGTTAATGTTATCTTCCTATTGTAACTTTGCATCTTACATTGCACAGCAATTCATGAGCCGTTTCTTATTTTTTGGAATGATTGTTAGATATTTATACTAGATATATAAAATGTGAAAGAAATAATTAATCTAGATGAAGTGCCAAAGGGGTGGAAAATGTGGCATTTGTGTGGGAGGTCAGGGGTTCGGGTCACTTCCCACGCAATAATTTAAAAGTCTTTGATTGGGACCTTGGACTTCCTTGATTAAAATAATTTTATTTATTTTCGAAATTATTTAATGGGCCAAATTACCCAATATAATATGACATTTTTAACAACCCAATATAAAAACCTCCTAGCCAGAACCCCGAGAGGTAGCTCAGTGGTCAGGTCTTGGATTTGCTCCCCAATAGTCACTAGTTCGAGTCTTCTCAGAGTCATTGAGGTGAGTACCTGACTGTAAATTTCAGAGCTCCGTGGGATTAGTCGAGGTGCCGTAAGCTGGTCCGGACATCCATGATCACCAAAAAAAAAAAAAAAAAACCACTAGCCACAAAGTCATTAAAATTTTGCATATTTTTCTAGATCATAGAGGAGGCAGTTACATCCAATTTGTCTATATAAATTCACATCTCGTTTTGCAGAAAACACATATCAAAAAACAAAATCATCAGAAACGAAATTATAATTTCCCATATTCTAAAATTTTTATACTTGGGTTTTTACATATATTCTGGAGTATACTTGAGAGTTCTAAAAAATCATTCATGATTGTTGCACAAATGGTTTATGATCATTATATCCTGAGAGTGATTGTCCTCGGAGGTCGCAGCAATTATCAAACGGCAATTTCACTTTAGGACATCGTGCTGTCATAAGGTCCAATCAGTCAATAAATTTTATTTTTGCATTTTACTATTCTACGCATAACTGCAATTAATTATTTTTCCTACAATGATTACAGTCATCAACAGTGCACGTTAATATTTTCCCCTTCTAAATGGTACACCGTCCTACAGAGTAGAATAAGGTTTATGTAGCATCGCTTCTTATGCTTGTCTGGACCTCAGTTTGAAATGAATAGCTCCATTTCGACTATAAGTGCAGGGTTATGTTTTTGCTGAAAAAATTGGTGATTATGCATTTTACATGGCAGAAAGTTTTTCAATGTCACCTAGTTTAAATGGGTTACTATACTGACATATATAGAAGTTTTTAATATTCATCTTGGAGTTCAATAACAAATGAGATAAATTTACCCCTAACCATTTTATTTATTTATTATTATTATTATTTTTTTTGGGTTGTCGTGGTTTTTCTTGTACCACTGGACAAGCCTTTATTGGTTTGTTAGAAACTATCTACTCTCTTTTATGAGAAACAGGGTGAATGATATCTCACCAGACTATCATGAGATCTCCTTTTGTTTAGAATCCACTCTCTGTTTCCTTGCATATCCTTATTTTGGCCCTCCAATGTCAATGCATTCCATATAAATATAGACCCATCACTTCCACTGCTAGTCCGCCTCTCACACCATCTCTATGCATCTCATATAGGAAGCGTATGACCATAACTACAGACCCATGATTGCCACCAATAGTCCGTTTTGCTCACCACCTCTATGTATCTCATATACAAAGGGCATATTTATGCCAAATAAATAAACCACTGATACCAGTGGATATAGCAGAATATGCACAGTAGGAACATATACCGCCATCTCTACTATTTAGCACTTTCTATTTGTGTATTATCATCCTCTCCACTCCTGCTCTCACACCTCAGTGTTTTTTTCCTCTTAATCTCACAGTTTACATAAAGAATGCGGGCTGCGGTCTCAATTTGTCTGACCCCCTCTAGAAAAAATTAGATTTATTAAAGAAACTAAGGTGTTGATGTGAGCAATGGACTTGATTGTCTTGAAATGATCTGCTTGAAAAGTAGTAAGGTTGAAGTTCCTCCTTAATAGTGTCAGATCACAAGAAATAGAAGTAATTATATTTAGAAGTAGCCTATTTATAAAGGTTAAAAGAAAAATCCGTTGGTATTATCTCACATTTCAATCAAGTAGGGTATTTGAGTTTATAGAAGCTCCATTTATTCGATCACTGTCATCATATCTATAGCACGGACATTTCAAATAGGGTAGTGTGTCCTTGTTTTACACGTGTCGATTCCAACACTCCTCGGGTACTCTACCATAAATATTTTTCTTTTTTTATTAAAAATATTATATATTTTAACTCAAAATTATTAGTAAATAATAAATAAGTACTATATTTAAAAGATTTCAACAAGAAAAATTAATAAGTAGACACACGTGTTCGTGTCGGTGCATCATAGGTCATCTTCATTGACTGCAATTTGAATTTTCCAACTTGTCTTCCGCTCCTAGGTCCTACTTTTATTTCTAGACTTCCATTGTGATCTTTAAAGAAAGATCTTGGGCCTGCTTTTTTGGGCCTCTAGTGAGTACTTCGGTAGCTTTAAGACTCAAATTTTTAAGCTCATAACCTGCGAAAACTGATATTATGAATTCTACCCTGTTTGGTGGGGGGACTAAAATTAGATTTTTAATAGATATTGATAGAAGTTAATGAAACGTGTGATTGAACAATTGTGGGATACAAAAAATATGTGATTAAAATTAATTGTTGATTTGATTTATATTAAAATCTAGATTTTAATTCCTATCAAAGAGGAGCTAAATCCTGATCTCACAAATTCTTTTGTATCGTAAATCTAGGGGTAATTTGCTCTGTTCTCTTCTGTTGCAAGTTAGTGAAAAGTTCAAGGGGCACTTGGGGCAAACAATGGATCTTATATTGACAATATAATGGATAGCTTGGTTGACATTTGGTATATGATCATTGAATTAGACTGTTACTCAAAGGAATTTGTTAATAAAGTATGCTTAAAGAGCCCAATATGACTAGGTAGCTAAAGGGGTTACATTGACCCTTTACCCCATTTTCGCGTACTCTACATTTCTACATTTCACATTGAAATAGGTGTTGTAAGCATTGCTCGGAAATTGAGACTAATATCTAATAGTAGCTCTAGCAATTCAAATGACAGGAAAATTCTCCTGTTAATAGTTAGTATTTGAATGAGAATTTTGTTAGTTCCCTGCAGTTTAAATTATGAATTACACTAGTACTTTCTCCAATTTGTCATGATATTCTTGTGGCAAGAATTTATTAGAAGAATAATGCTACTGGTATATAATGGCGTTGCATAATAGTTTACATATAGATGAGGTGTCCAAGACAGAGAGGAGCTCTTTTTTTTTTTCTTTTTTTTCTTTAGGGGGGGTTTTTTTTTTTTTTTTTTTTTTTTTTTTTTTTTTTTTTTTTTTTTTTGTATACAATAGAATGCCTAAACTTTCTTCCTCTCCTCGGTGCCATGAGAAAAAGGCCTTACCTTCTACGGTCGTTTAAGGTATCTTCTTCCCTTGCAGGTGGTTGCTGGTATGACTGGTAAGAAACAGGACTGATCTGGTCTTAAGAGATAATTCCAGAGGTCTTTCTACAACTCCTTTGTAATTCCATGGTAGTCGGAGACTGAGAATAAATTTACGAATTTTCATTTAATGTTTTATTGGGTACACGTAGGTAGCAAATTGAGCAGGTAAAGACAGATTTGTTTTTTGATACTCTTTGTCCTAAATATTACTCCTGTTTCAATCTATTTCCACATTGTCATAGCTTCTTTTAATGGCTCTGTTGTCCATTTCTATAAACTCTTACATGGAAAACAGTTACTCAGTGAGACCCAAAATCATACTCCTTCCGTCCCATAGAGATAAGGTTTCTTTCATTTTCGCACATATTAAGAAAATATAATTAATATCGTTGTAAATATAAATTTTACTTACATTTTTTCAAATACACCCTCACATTAAATAATGTTTTAAATAAGAATGGTTCATATTTGTTGATAACAAGACGCATTAAATAGAGACATTAAAAAATTAAGAAATCGACTATACTCTCAACTAGGAAAGTTCCTATAATTTGGAACAAACATAAAAGGGGAGCAAGTCTATATTTAGGGGACGGAGGGTTTAAAAAGCATGTACAAAAAGCATGTACAGAAGTGGATAATATGATTATTCATTGCTGAAATTGAAGCACAATATGGCTTTAAGAATCCAAAGAAAAAGAATAGCAAGCAACTAATGAACTCTACTAAGTTGCAGTTTTACTGGTAAATGCAAGTTGTGAGTCGAAGAATGTTGGGTCAAAATTTGCAAGATAGCCATTATAACTAAGCCCCTGTTTAATCCCCATTAAATTAAATTACATTACATTACATTTTTTTCTCCTATTTTCAATCACACAATTTTCCATAAAATAATATTACACGTAAATCGAATACCTTTCCTTCTTTTTCAACCACTCATTTTTCTACAAAATACTATTCCTTCCATTTTCATTTTCAGGTAACGAGAATCAAACAAGGGCTAAATATTTGTGTACATTTTCCAACTTTCTTTGACTAATCTTTATCAAATATCAATCTTGGGACTGCACCAATCTGTTCGATTGGAAGAATAGGAACCAGGCCGAATTTTAAAACATTGCCAAATGTTTTAGTTGAATTGAGAAGTATAAAATTCTAAAGGCATGTTTTAGTAGCACTCGATTTAACTTATAAAGCATGCAATAAAAAGATGGGAGAACGCTAGTGACACCCGTAACCGAATGAAATTTTACATAGTATTGGACTATATAATAAATCAAATTTTAACTTATTTTTCTCCATTAACATTATGTTTTTGAAATCTTCAATCATTCCACCAGATAATTATGTGATTATAGTTTACTACTTGTGGAAATTGGTGCATGAAAATGTATCGATCACGTTTGTTTACTTTTGAGTATTATAAAAAAGGTAGTGAAATCCGATAGAACTTATTGAATATTTTTACTCCATTGGCGAAAGCCCTTGGCTACTCACTGTACCCCCTCTTTGAAAGTGTCAAATCGTGGGAAAAATTTTCAGTGGATGGTTCGCCCGCCCAACGTCAAGGCGCCACCTCGGCAATGGCCCACACACCTTGGAGGTGTGTGTGTGGGCCATCAGCCGAGGTGGCACTCCTTGATGGCGGTGCGACCACCCTAGCACTGCCTACGGAAGATTCTCTGCAAATCGGGGTGTGATTATTGAATATAATTAGTCTTATATAAATTAAGGTTTTAAATCCATGCAAACAGGAAGAAATAGAATTTGGAAATACTTTTGAAGAGAAAATCTCAAAGTAATGGACTTAATTCATTTTCTCGCTCTAAAAATATTAGAGGGAACTACGCTTTCTATTCTAAAAAGAGAACAAATTAGATTATTACACTTAAATAAATTAAAATCTCTAACGACCGTAATAATTACGCCCTAAAATTTCCCAAAACCCCTAAAACCACCCACCAATTATAGAGAGAAATTCTAAACCTCGCTGTGTACAAAATCACTTTTGAAATAATTTTTTTCCATTCATTTTCTCATTTTTGAGAATTAATGTGCTTAGTCATATTATTACACAATTCTCTCTCTCTCTCTCTCTCTCTCTCTCTTTTTGGTGTTTTTACTGTCTCTATGTGGTGCGACCGCCCTACCTAAGTTTTTTCCCTACGTGGGACAATCTTGTGCATTGAGGTTGACTAGTGGCTCGAAAGAGTAAATTTGTGAGCTCAAATTCTCAGATTCTTAGGTATTCCCGATTGTTATACTGGGATTGATTTATTGATTAATTCGATTTTCGAGTAGCTTAAATTATCAACTTGTGCAATTTTCTCTGGTCTGCTAGCTTTGTTTCTCTTTCTCATGTTGTTTATTCAATTCTACTTGAGCATGATCTCCTGGCAGAGAAATCGATTAATCAATTCAGATGTAATTCATTTTTTCGTAGTTGACGAATTGAGGATGAAATCATATCACTTGAAGTTGCGTTTTGCTACTTTTTTTTTAGCCTTTGTCACTTTTTTTTTTAATCATCATTTTTGAGTGTTATTCACTTCTTTTTAAATTGTCTATCACTTTTTTGAGTGACAAACTTAGGTTTTGATTGTTGTTTTATCACTTTTTGAGTGCGTTACTTTTTTTATTTTTTGTCATTTTTTTTGGGTTTGTCACATTTTTCATCACTTTTTTTAGCGTTTGTCGCTGTTCTTTTTTCTTTTTAATTTTTATCACTTTTTTGAATGACAAACATCATTTTTTTTAATAAAAGTGATACTGTATGTTGTTTTTAAAATAAAAAAAAAAGTGGAAAGTGTCACTTTCGTCACTTTTCGAGTGTTCGTCACATTTTTTTTTTACTTTGTCACTTTTTAAGTGATTGTCATTTTTTTGTGACTTTTTTGAATCTATGTAACATTTTTTAATTTATGTCACTTTTTTAAATTTCTGTCACTTTTTTTAGCAATTGTCATTTTTTTTTTCACCTTTTTTTTTTCAATAGTCGTTTTGAAATTTCTGTCACCTTTTTTAGTGACAAACATCACTTTTTAATACAAGTGACATTGTATGTAATTTTTTTTAATAGAAAAGTGACACTAAACTTTTAAAAGTGACATTGTCTTTCTTTTTTCTTTTTTTTTTAAAGTGACAATTTTAATAAAAAAGTGACAACTTTTTAATTTTACACAGTATTTTTTACTTTCAAAAAAATTTTAATATGATTCTTCAAAAGATACCTAATTTTAAGGGTATTTTTGTAAGTAACAAAAAATACATAGGTTCAATTTAGACGAAAGTTTTACCCAAACCTAACCATTACCACCTTAAAACAAGATCCTAGTAAAATATAAGATGAAAAAAATATCGAATTGTAGTAAGAATCACATTTTTTAAATATTTAATTAAACAATAGAAATGAGTTTAATTTTTTAAAAAATGGAAATTTATTAATCCATTGTCAATTATTTTTAATAGAAAATAACAGAAGAGTCACCTCAGCTGACTCATGATAAGCAGTGCTTCTGCTTTACACCAATGCAAGTTTAAGAAGCAAATCCAACTTTATTTGAAGTTTTTGTCTTCTTACCAAAAGGCTTTTCCAATTAATGAACAATCATAATTAATTTTTATTTTAAAAATATTATGAATTTATCTCAAAGACGTGTCCTAATGTTTATTTTATTACCGTAACAATCAATGTAGATCGTCTAAAACTGACCGAATGTTAGAAAGTGAAGAAGATTGTGAGGAATTAAACTTGATAATCTTACATCTGATCCAATGCATCACCATATTCACTTTCGACATCTACATTAAATGTATAATGGAGATCCTAATATTTATGAATACATATTGAACATGAATTATTCACTATTACGATTTAAAACAAGTGAATTACACATACCCCTACATTTTAACTTATCATTAAAAAATAATAAAAAAATAAAAAAATCAAATTTTAACTATAACCTTTTAAAAGTTAGGTATACCCTCTCCACCCCCACCTACCCCCACTCCTTAACTCTAATTCATGTTCTATCAAAACAAAAGGTCACAAAATTTCTCAACTTCTTCATCCTCCCATCGCTTTTGGGTTACTACCATCGCTCATCACTTCTTCGGTCATCAACATCAGTTATCGTTGTTGCTGTGGTTTTGGAGTTTTGCACACTGCACGTAGTAATGATCATTTTAGGGTTTTGGGATGGTTTCTTCCACCTTCGATCTGATCCAATCTACTTAGCAGGGTGGTTTTTGTTGGTGGTTTGTAAATGTTGTTGGTGGTGAGGGGTACGACGATGGTGGTGAGGTGATGCAACATTCAATTGGTGTCGATGGGGGGTGGGGTGGAGTGAAAAGTATTTGTGACCAATTATTTGGGTGATTGTAATCAATAAAATAATTAATTTGTAATTAATAAATAATATGTAACCGATAAAATAGAGAATTGTCACCAATAAATAACTTATGACCTAAAAAATGCATGATTGTGACTAAATTTATGATCATGATTCATAATTTGTCTTTGTAATTTTGACCATATGTGATTTGTGACTGTAACTATAGTTGTGTATTATTACAATCTTGACATGTTATGGTGATCACATTTGATTTTAAATTTTTTTCATATGTTTTTGTATTTTGAAATGTATATTTAGCCTTTGTTTGTGCATATTTTTCCATTAAAATACATTCTTCAACAGTGATTTGACACAATTTCAACCACACATTCTTTAATAAGATAATATTATACGCAAATCAAAAAAAATTTCTTATTTTTTAACCACACATTTTCTATCAATATACTATTCAAAAATTCATTTTCTCCTCTAAAGTGAGGCAACAAGGGCTTAAACTTTGTAATCATGTATTCTTCCCTTATTGAAAACAATCTTACCTGTCAACCATGGATTGTACTCGGTTGGTAGTGTTACTTTGAGGCCCAAATTCAAACCGCTCACTTTAACACTGTCCAAGCTCGGCCCATTATCATAATTCATCTAACCAACTTAGGGCTTCTACCAAATCCCAAATCCATTATGGGTTGAATGGACAGGTTGTGGATCACATCCTCTTATGAGCCAAAAATTGCACTAAAGGGAGGAAAAAAATTCTTTTCAGCACTCTATTACAATGGAGAGAGGACATTTCATAGCCTCTTCTTTTTTTTTTTTCCTTTTTTTTTTTAAATGTTCGCAATGTTCCGTCTATACGCTAATCCTTATAAATCAAGGTCAAACTCTTAATTTGATTTCAGC